TGGTTCACTCTGCTACCTTCATTGTAGATTTGTTTGGTTGCATCACTTAAACAAACAAAAAAATAAAAATATTCAGGGGTTTCTTAATGCACTTGGATGCGCTCCGATTAGTGGTAAGAGAGACTTTTGCCGCTCACCGGGCGAATCGACATTTGACTTGTGAAAAACATGCACTCTCCGCAACACTCACGCCAACTCACGCATTTCCGATTGTACAAACATACTTAACATAACATATAACTTTAGGCCATTACTCGAATGTGAGTGCTTACATATGTATGGATGTGAGCACGTACATCAGTACCCTGCAGGAAATGGGACTAGTTTGTAGCTAACTACTACTACAGTCGACTAGTGGTAACTATATATTAACTATTTCCTTTGCCCGTAACTAACTACTTTTCAAGGGCATAGTGGTCCCTGGTTTCTTCTGCATTAGATGTCCACTAAACTATCAATAAAAAGAGATTTTTTATACTTTTTTATTTTATTTATTTTATTTAACTTTGCATATTTGCTTGTTTGGTTACATGTCCTTTTGTAGGTGGTCCCATATTTGAATGCCATCGGACATAACATCCAAATATTAATGTAAAATTTCGATATTTATTTTATTTGTCCTGAATTCGAAAAAGAATCTGCGAAGTGCAGAAAAAAAGTGAATGGAAATGATTTTTTGTAGGACGATATTTAAATAGAAACTTGTAAAGAAAACAAACTCAAGATAACGTCTGCATGGCTCCTACAACTCTGCATGTCTTTACAACTCATTTAAAGTTATCTTTGTCATAGCTAATTAGAAGTTAGTTAATTATCGAAATCCCGCAAAAAAGCTAACTATAAGTTTGTTATTTTAACCAATTGATAAATTTTCCTGCAGGGTATGTAATACATTGATATGCATATATTTTTTGTGCATTTGAAGTTATTTTGAAAATTTCGTTTCCAGTTTCGATTTGACTTCGAACGCGTTTGGCCGCGTCCACCGATTAACCGAGTGTGGAGAGTTACTGACTGAGCGCGTGACTACGACTAGCAGCAGCGACTAGGGTTTCAATCAGAGACGCCAACGCTGAGGACAATTTGAACGTGAGCGACTACAAGGCAGACAATAGCGTGATTACTTAGCTAGAGCTCGGTTAGTTGATTAGTTTAATTAGTCGACCGGTGTGTGCGTACGCGTGGCGCCGTTACGAACGCGATTTTTCGATTATTCAATTATAGTTTGAATTCATGGTAAACAATAGCTACAGACAAATGTATGTTAATTAGGGGATCTAAAGAAAAAAAAAATACTAAAGAGGTGCAAATTACGGATCCTGTAATGAGTGACATTAGTGAATGGTTGTGCAGTGTAGAATGAAATTTACGGTATACCCACATACATACATACGTACATATGAACATATACCTACACATCTACAAACATATAAATAAGTTTGTAAAAGGACATTCCAATTTGTGTTATTGCAGTTACGAAAACCTTCAAAATATACTAAAAACTCCGATATGTATTTATATGCAATATAAAGTTAAGTACAGTGAAAACGTTTATTATCACAAAAGACACATACGTAGTTATGTATGAACATGCATATGTTTCTATGTACATATGTATAACAATTATTGGATTTTCTTGCTTCTAAATTATATCAAATAATGTTTTAACAAATTGCATGTTTTGGCATATGGGACACTTTAACGAATTTTATTTACGTACATGGTTAATGAAATCTGTTTAAACCTACGGTTACTCATACACCTGCATCTACTCGCGTGCTTGCTGTGATAAAAGATATAAAACGTTAAAGGGAAAAATGCTTACATATGTTACTTAAATTATGTAGTATGTTGCTTTCGTGTTTCCATAGGAATATGTATGTCTGTTGATAAAAAAAATAAAAATAAAACAAAGAAGTAAATGAAAACAATTTAAGATAAAATAACTTACATACTTATATACAAAGTATGTACATTCTTACATATGTGCATGCATACAGAGTACGTACATACTTACATATTCATCTCTAACTTTCCGAAAGGCAGACAACCTTTAGCACATATACTATCACGAACAAACATACACACCTTCACATTCATACGTAAATTCACATAGATTCTAACATACACGCACACCCACACGCCCGCACAATAGGCGACTCTCTTTGAAAGTAAAGATAAAATAAAACGCTACGCTCCCTATTTTCGTTTTCGTTTTGAGATATGTTTGTAAAATTGTAAATGTACAGATACACACAAATACAATTACAAACTATTACATATCAGTAATTTTTTTTTTTGCATACAAACATATGTACATACATATTTACATATATGCACAATCAAATAAAACAAAAATTGCTCTCTTATTTGCGAGCTATGCTGCCAAAAAGTAATTTATCGCGCATTCGCGCTCTTTAAAAACTCTCACTCACAAACAAATGTATCATTCACATTCCCCCGAATAGCCGTATAACGCTGAGAACACTATCGGCTCCCTACATTGTGTCCCCACTGTCTTTTACGTTGAACAACTCAATTAAGAGAAATTAAAGGGTGTTGTTTTAGAAGTAGATCAGATCTAGTAATATAAAATTAAATTAGAATTTTTTTTGTAGGGGGCCGACCCGATTTAATATATGTAATCACTTAGTTATCTTTAGTCAAAAGAAACAGCAATTCATAGGACGTTAGAAACGTTAACAGGACTTCCAAGATGTCAATCCAATAAAAAAAAATCGAATATCGAACACCATACGCTATCGAAAATTAAAAGGCTATTCTTAAAATGGATTTTTATTGAAAGGTTCAAATTTTGAAGAACATTTGGCACTGCCGCCAACTAAAGAAACCAATGTTTTATCGATGTTCTGAGATAGTAGTTTTGTCGCTTCCTCGCTACAAAATCTCCTTACAGGAATAAAAAATGTACATGATGGTACAATGCCAGTTACATGGATTTTTCCACATTCAACCCCCTTAAGCACACCGCTCGGCCTACACGACGTTGGATCGAGAAAAATATGATAACATTGCACGATGCCCTAATCTGAACCACATCGAGCATTTCTGGGAGAAATAAAAAAGACAAGTTCGTGTTGACAATAGCTGCCATGTCACCCATGTGAAAAATCAATTGCGTCAATGGCCCGGAGATATGAAACACGAATTCAAAGGGATGGGTTTGCAACAAAATATTAGCTATAAAGTATTAAAATTTCTCAAATATGTAATAAATGCATGTATATATTACCGGCCAACCCCGATCTTAGGACAAACAAGTTTTTCCTAGGCTAACCTGGTTCTACCTAGATCCAATATATTCGTCCAACGCGGAAACAAGTAGGACGCAACAATGTTGTGGACTGTGTAGCTTGAGTACGACTTATCAGGGTTATTTTTTTGAAGTGCGGCCGAGGGCCGCCTACGCCGAAAGGGGTTCGGTGCGAAAATACTGTGGCCCCTGATCTATTTTAGCCTAGGCAAAACTAGTTTACCCGAAGATCGGGTTTGGCCGGTAACACATGTACATATATAGATAGAGGAGCTCTTCTGATCAACCGGGTAGTAAAGGAAAGAATTCTGTACTGAGAGCGGCAGTATTAGTTAGCAGTACGCATTGACCGATACGCAAAATAAAAGTTGAAAGCGACGAATGTGCATCTGTACTAAGGAACCCTACTGCTAACTGCCCAACTGCTGCCGGTAATAGCCGCAGTTATAGCCCGAACACAATGAAAACGACGAGCTACAAACCACAGCTGTCAAATTATTTTAACACGTACTCTTATGTAGATAATTATTTTGGCGACGACCGGGCTACGCGACGGCTGTGGTTGTGGCCAGATTAGATCTATTTCTATTTTTCTGGCGACAGATAAGGTTCTTCCTCTTCTTTTATGTCAAACTCATACAAATTCATGATGTCGTTGCCGCGTTCAAAGAAATCATGTCGCCATCGACAAAGCGCTTAGATAATAAAGATGACAAATTGGAAGCTGTGGTCGGTAGCTCATCGTTTTCAATGTGTTCAGAACTTGAAAGTCATCTTTCGTTGTTTTATTAATACTCTTTTGGTTGAGCTGCACTCAACCTTAAGTAAAGAGATGTCGTACAGGTTCACCAAAAGAGAGTCGAGATCAGCAAAAGCAACAAAAAGTTATATGTGTACAACAGAAATCGCCGGCAAGTGATGTGCAGTTGGCAAGATACAAAAGGCCGCCCAGAGTACTTCGATTCAACGCTGTCTGCATACCTTTCATAAACATCAGACAATTTAACTTTAACCTGTTACTGTATTTTTAATATACATACATATGTATGTATGTATGTATATAATATACACATATATGTACGTAAAATACCCTGATGGGGGAGTCATGTAAAATAAACGCATAAATGGGCAATTAATTAATGGTATCGGATATACATATATCTTATAAAGCACCGATCTCTATGATTTTCGCAGTAGGCCTTGTATGGTCGATACAATTCCATGGTTTTAGCTGCCTGCATAAGTTAGTCAAATCGCAAAACCGTATATGTGAATAATCGATCGGACGGGAGATATATCTTATGAAGCACCGATCTCAACGATTTTCTCTGCGGACCTTGTTTGATTAATTAGCAAATAGCTAACGAAAGTGCAAGGTTTTAGCTGTCTAAATAAATGAGTTTTAGTTAGCTGAATAAATTGAGGAGGTATAATGCAAAACCTCATATCTGAACAATCACTCAAATGATTAATACATTATAAAAAGACACGCACTACTAAATTTCGGTCGGATATCTTGATTAGATTGCGTTGAAACAGACAGACAGACATGCATGGCCAAATCGACAAAAGCTCGACGTTCTGATCATTTTGATATAGTTTGTCATGGGTCTACCTTTTCTTAATGTACACATGTAGTTGTAATATGTTTTCATGTTCATGAAAGATATACAAAATTACGGCTGCACATTTGCAATCCCCGATGGTCACCGACTACTGTTGTAGAAAATTTACTTTATTTTTTTTTTTTAAACAAAACACATAATATTTTAAAATCAAAACCCTTCTAATATATCCATATAAAATGCTACAGTCATACACACACACATACATATGTATATAAATATCTAAGTTTCTTAGTATAAGTGCGAATTCTGAACAAATATTTTACAACGCCAGCTTTCTACCTCTTCCAATGTTGTTACCCATTTCAGCAATACGAACATCGTTTCTTTACTGATTTTTTACTTAACAATTCCATCTGCATCATATTGTTTTTTTTTTTGAATTTCGATATTTGGGAGAACAGTGAACAATCGCTTTTTGGAGGAAGCCAAACTCAGATACCAAAAGCAAAACTCTTAAAACTTAATTTCGTATTCGTATTCGCATTTGGTCGCCAACGGCCTTTTGCTGCCTCCTCCATCGCCATGGTGGGGCTTGTTCTGTTCGGTTTGCGACCCGTCTCTGCCTGTTTGCTTGCCAGTCGCTGTTGGTGCTCGGCGCGTTGCTCCATTCTGCGTTGCTTCGCTCCGCTCCACTCTGCTCACTTTTCGCATTTCGCATATTTAATATTAGTCGCAAATACAAATCGCAATTATTCAATCGCGAGCAGCATTGCAGTGTGGATCCCCCGAAATTCAGTAAAAATACGTCCTGCGGTTTTGGACTTCCCATAATAAGCACAGTTTGGCTTGAAGTTTCAGTTTTTAATTCAGTCCAGCCGGAAAGTGTTCAGTGCAAATGGCTAAAAACGAGAGTTGAAAAGTGATACGTTTGTTTTTTTTACTAAAAATATATTATTTGAAAATTTTAGGAAGATATGAATGTAGCTCTAAGATCGAGGGTCGATGGGGCTTCTTATCATAGAGTAATCGAAACAAGTTTTTTGTATTTAAAAGATCGTTAAATCTTGACGTTAAAAATGTGTGCATATTTAAATGAATCAGAGGGTCTTGTAACTACTCAAAAATGTGTTAATAAGTCACGCTAGTATTAAAAATACTCAAAGAATTTCGATATCTTTAAAATTGTAGTTTTTTAACTCAATGTTTAGTTTATCTTCTCCAGTTGCTGCCTCTTATGTGAAATGTGAATGCATGTGTGTGTAGAACATGTAATTATCTTACAAAATTTTTTTTTTTATTGTTCTACGTTTCTGTTATTTCTCATCTTTGTTTTTAAACACACAGAGCGCGTTCAAACGCATGAAATGTAAATATGTTTGAATTTTGGACAAAAA